CAATTCCTGGGCAATCTAATATAAATTCCAATTAAAAAATAATAAATAAATAAACTGACAGCACCGGCTTCTGTTTTGACAGAAACATCAGTTCTCAACAAATTACCTTTAATTTTGGTCAAAATGGGACAATTATCAATTCCGGCACTATTAGATTCAGGTAGTACAATCAGTGCCATGTCCCAAACTTGCTTTAAACAAGTAGGTAATAAGAGAATAAAAAAACCTCACACCATAAAAATAATATTAATAATAATAATAAGAATCAACTGAAATTTACAAAAAAATGCCAATAAACACAGCTTGAATCAATTTCCAATCCACAAGCGATTTGAAACTTATTCCAAATTTGTTCTTTATTAATGTTATATTTTTTCCCTATAATTTTAAATTGTATAAATTCACCACTGCTCAATATAAATTGAAATAGAATATAAATAATCTATAAAATAAATAAATAAATGAAATAATTTAAAAAACTTTTAATTGTATAAATTCACTAATTATGAAAATAGGCTAAAATCATTTCTTTGTTAATTCTCTTGTATGAATATTTTTCTTTCATTGTATAAATTCATTAATCATGAAAATAAGCTAAAACTATGTTTTAATTAATTATGTATTCTCTCATAAAATATTTACTAAATTGTATAAATTTACTAATTATACAAAATAAGTAATGCTATTTCTTTAATTAATTCTGTTTTCTCTCTGAACTTATCTACCCGGCCAATGCAACCTCATACCAGCACCATATTTTACTGTAGTTTATTTAAATTTCAACTTGTAAATGTATTTTTCAAACTGAAACAACTTTTTTTTTTTTATGGGGGAATATTTATAACAACAAATTATGTCCAGGCTCAACCCATCCATGCTAGAGGCAGGAAAGCGAGAACGGATAGTTCAGTCTAGCCTAGGCATTGGAAGAAAAACAATAAGAAAAAAATCCAGCCGAAATCCAGTCAAATCAGATTTGTATAGACTTTGATTTTTATTCATATAAATTATTTCTGTTGTGTGGCCCATTTTCATTTATGGTTTTTTGTTTGGTATTTTCCATTTTGGTTATCAAGGTTAATTATTTTAATTTTGCCCCTCAGGCCCATATTATTCCCATAGTATCTAATTATTCTTATATTGTTAGTTTGTAAGCAAAGGTTCGTGTTTTGTTGTTTTATATTTTTTATATAACGTATCTTGATTCATAAGGAAATACATTTTTGTTTTAAAAGAAACAAAATAGAGGTGTCCCTCTGCAATTGTGTTCATAATTTATTTCAAATCAAAATTCCTTTGATTTTGAGGCAGATCACCAGCCTCAAGGGGGTTAATAAAACCTTAAAAGACGGAATATAATCATTCCTTAAAGGACCCAAATAGATTGAAAATTGGTAGGTGATTATCCCTCTCTGAAAACATGCGAGGAAATTTTGCCTTTAAGTCCAGTACAAGATTTAAGTTGTCCTTTCGAGTGACTGACATGTCAAACTCCTGGCTTTGCCTAATTGCTTCAACTATATCAGGCAACCATTCAGGTTTTAAAACATTTAGCCAATTGCGACCAAGTAACGCAGCACATGACAATACTTTGACTACAACCAATGGCAAATTTGTATACCTGTTTTCAACTGATGACGAACTCCTGGCTTTGCCCAAGTGCTTCAACTATATCAGACATCCATTCAGGTTTTAAAACATTTAGCCAATTGCGACCAAGTAACGCAGCACATGACAATACTTTGACTACAACCAATGGTAAATTTGTATACCTGTCTTCAACTGTGACCAAAATGACCCCTACAATGTCTAAATCCTGACAGTTGGCTGCTATCAAGCGGCCCAGGTATGGCTGCATTTCCAAATTTGGAAACTTCGATAGATTTTAGTACTAATAAGTGTGTTTGACGAGCCGACTGAAGCAAACTGTATTTCCATTGATTCTAAGATTCAGGTTTGGAGTATTATCTGAAAAACTACAAGCATTTAAAATTGATACATAAGGACTGAACATACACAGATTTTTCACTTTGCACTTAACTCAACTTTACTAGTGGCAAAGGCTTCCTTTCTGATAACGCGTTGACTTGCATACAGAAAAAGTGTGCCCCCTTTCTCCACAAGGGTAGCATTCCCAGTTTCTTGCCGAACAATTGGTGAATTTGTGCTTGATACCGCATGAATGGTGGTTACTTGGTATGACAACTGACGGCTCTGTCACGACTGACGGCTACGATGATCTCCTGACTCCCTCGAGACTCGAGCGGCAACTTCTTGATTCAAATGGCTTAAGATCTCCGTGTTTTTGTCCACAGATTCCAACTTAAAAGTATCTCCGTAGCTTCCAAGAATCTTAGATCATCCTTTTCGGATAGAAGATGACTGATGTATCTTGAGCTTAAAAGACCACACACCAGTTTATCTCGTAGATACTCATCAAAGAACGTCGTAAAATGATATTTACCTGCCAGGTCTTTAATAGCGCAAATGTTGCTTTCAAAGACTCGCCAGAAGCCTGTTTCCTCCAGTAGACGGTGAAATGAGACTTTTCAGAAGATCGAACGTTTCCTCATCAAGACACAAATACTCTTTTCTCCTCCTCTTTGATTCCAGATATGGTGAAGTAGAGATCCAAACGCTCGATGAAAGTTCTGCCCTTAAACTGAGGCATGAGCATTGATGCGTTGTTTCCAATGCTTACAGATGCCAATCCAGACTGCTCCAAGGACATGACGAAGGAAGACTAATTGCCGACTATTGATGACAATTTGAGACTCTCCACTGGACGATTCTTCCAAGACGAAATATGATTCAGGACTTATGACCACGTGCCATACCTCGAACCGGCACCAAACGGGAAAAAACCGCTTGCAATCCCGATTTTATCTCGTCGCCAAAAGTGTTATGTCTCGTATGGACTGACTAAAGCGGCCCATAGACGGTCAATATTATTGTACAATATAGATTGCACAATAATTCGACGGTTGCCCCTTAACGTTCAATAATATTGTATAAAATTTTGTTTGAAGGCGATATTGAAGTTTGTGAAACCACGAACATGCGAACTGTACCACTTGATACTTCACAAACTAACTGATATTGCGCAATAATGCCAACAGACGGTGCAATATTTTCCAGGTTGTGCAATATATTTTCAACTTTTCGTCAATCATGCAATGTATTGCACAAATTTTCAATATCGTCTACACACGATTAATTAAATTGCACAACCCAAAATATTGTGCAATAATATTGATCGTCTATGGGCCGCTTTACACAAGATACCCATTGCTCAAAACATCCAGCGACTCGACATAGTACAATGATCATCCGGTAGAGCGGAACACAACACTCCTCTAGGAATTTAACTTTGGAACTAGGAACTTAACTTTTTGTTTTTAAATTGGCCTTATGGTCAATGCATATTAGCCAAGGAGATTATTATTATGCAAATGCATATTGGGGGAGGGTCTCTCATGCTAACCACTCTGCTACCGAAGTCCGCCACCCTTGAGAGTTAGATCAAAACTTTTTTTGGGCCAGAGAAACTAGACAAAAAATAAAAATTCACCTATCTCAGTATTTTTCACAAAAACTCAATGAAAATATAGCGGGGAGCAGATAAACTCACCCTGTTAAAACAAATCCATAGCATTATGAGCATAACCATGTAATAAATTGTTAATTAAATTTTATGAACAAAACCATGTAATAATAAATTGTTCGTTAAATTTTATGAGCAAAACCATGTCATAAATTGTTAGTTAAATTTTATGGGCAAAACCATCTCATAAATTGTTAGTTAAATTTTATGAGCAAAACCGTCTAATAAATTGTTAGTTAAATTTTATGAGCAAAACCGTCTAATAAATTGTTAGTTAAATTTTATGGGCAAAACCATTTCATAAATTGTTAGTTACATTTTATGACCAAAACCGTCTAATAAATTGTTAGTTAAATTTGATGAGCAAAACTATGTAATAAATCGTTAATTAAATTTGATGAGCAAAACTATCTAATAAATTGTTAATTAAATTTGATGAACAAAACCATGTAATAAATTGTTCGTTAAATTTTATGAGCAAAACCATTTCATAAATTGTTAATTACATTTTATGTCCAAAACCGTCTAATAAATTGTTAGTTAAATTTTATGAGCAAAACTATGTAATAAATCGTTAATTAAATTTTATGAGCAAAACTAATAAATTGTTAAAGTGTATGAACAAAACCATGTAATAAATTGTTGGTTAAATTTTGAGCAAAACCGTGTAATAAATTGTTAAATTTTATGAGCACAACCCATGTAATAAATTGTTAGTTAAATTTAATGGTTTTAAATAAAATTGCATTAATTAAGGTTTTAAGTTGAGATAAAAACGTTATCCTGGCGTTTTGATCATTTTTTGTTAAACCATTATAATTAATAAAAAGTGATGAATTTTTGACACACTTAATTTGGTTTATATTAACTTAAGTATGTTGTAATTACTATAACAATAATACATATATTTTAAAATAAAAAATAAGTATCCGGTTCTTTTGTCTTCGATGCTAGTCTATGAAATCTTCTATACAGTGGGGAACTTGGCTGCAACTCGTTGCGTTGCGTGGTGTGGCATCGGATAGATGTGCACAGGGATAACACAATCTTATAGAAAATTTGACATTGGTTTTGCATCAGGCTACGCCTATGTATTCCTAGAGGTTGATCCACATATTGTGCTGTAGTGGCATCTGATCTGAAGAAGGCTCTAAAGTGGATTCTCCCGTTTTCTATTAATGTTTTAGGTTTCAAGGATAAATAAAATCAAAACTTTGTGTTATATTTTTATTTAATTGTTTTAAGAAATGGGATTTTACATGTTTTATGTAGTAATAAATACAATATATAAAATGTCCCATCTGTATAAAAAAAAATCGTGATTTCTTTTTAGGTTTAATTTTCAATGATGAAGCCTTGCCCAATATTTGAGATCTCCATCTAAATATATTTTTTAAATAAACTTTGTTTTGCACTTTAAAGTAGGTACATGTTGTACGCTCCTTTTTGTAAATAAACTTAATCTTACTCTAAACACTAAACACAATACTATAAACACACTTTGATATATAATACAATTAAAATAGTCCCGTTGAGTAAAAACCTAGGAGAGGTTTAACACACGTCAAGTAATACTGAACGCAATACTTTCTAAATTGGAAATTAAAAAACCAAATAAATAAAGTTATTTATTCCAAGCACCTTCGTTTTCAAAAGGTTAGGTACGCTAAAAAATATATACCTATGATGGAAATTATTTTCCTTACAGGAAAAGTTTTTTGGTTTTAATTTACGATATTTAGAAAGGATTGCCGTTTAAGTATTACAGTCAACACTTCATCATAGTCATGTTTGGCTGACACTTGGTGGAATGATCAAAATGCGAGAAGAGGGCTTGATGTTTGTGGAAATGAACTATCGATGAACTTGAAATGAGATGAGAGATGAAGGCATTGAGAATTTCTTTATGAAGTCCAGGAGGAAAAAGTCTTATCTGAAAAATACAAACATAACAAACATAGTAAAAATGATGAAAAAATTTGAAACAAGTGTTAAAACACAGTGTTAATTGACTTTTTTTGATAAATGCATGCAACTATTAATTTTAAGGACATGTATTTTTCTAACATCAGTTAGTGTGGTAAAGTCGTCAAATGATGTTCAGTAGCAGAACTGGATATGTTCATCATTTATTAGAAAAAATACAGAATGGGCCCTTATCAGAAATTTTTTTTTTTTCTTTTTCATTTAACTGACTTACCGCTTTGATAAACCAAGGTGTTCCTTAGTAGGGCGCATGCCTTGCACCGCGGCCGCCCCCTCTCTGCTTACCCCCTCCGTAACCACTTCCTGCAACACAATATTATAGGTCTAGACTTTTAAGCTAGTTATCCACCCGCCCAAGTTAACTAGAACCAAAAAGACTACTATTTTTTTTTTTAAATATGTATCTTATTTAAAAAAATAAAATCCCTTCTACTTAAAAGCCACCATGAGCTATCTATATTTCTCATTTAAAAGTATCTTAAATTTAAAATAATAAAAATTAAAAAACATGTCTCAGTAAAAATAAAAGCACACTAGAAATCATGCATGCCTTGGCTAATAAAAAAAAAATGAAAACACTTTTTAAACTACATTTTTTAAAAGTATCTATATTAAAATAATAAACATCAAGAATGAAACGTTACTGATGAAAATGAAGTGGTAGCCGATAAGAAATGATGGGACAAAAATAAAAAGGTATAAGTCTAAAATTTTCAATCAAGGCTTGAGGGGGAGTAAAAAAATCAAAACGATAGGAGTCAGAGGAGTGGCGGCCGGGCTGAAAAACACGTCCACACATATACAAATTTGCCTGACCAAAAAATAATTTTTGATAATATTGAGAAAAAAAATTAATCATGCACTATCTAAACCAACACAAACAACTAAAACAAAAATAGTTTTTCAGTATCAACGCAGTTAATTCAAGTGGGAAAAAACACGTTTTCTAATTTTATATTTTTTAAAGTTAATTTTATACTTTTTAAAATAAGTCTCATTGTATAAAAAATTTCCGTATTTTTCAACTTCAGTATGTGGAGAAGGGTATATAACAATTCATCAGCTTAATCAGAAGCTTGTTTAACTGATTCATCATAAATGAAAAATACGGTTAAAAAATAATTATAAAACAAATATAAATTTAAAAAACTCAATATTATAATATAAATTTAATACAGTAAGTTTTTTTTAGTAAAAAGCATTTTGTGATATGAAAGAGTGGGGTTAATTAAAAAATCTTTTTGGTTCCATTATAAAAAAAAGGGGTCATGCTTTAAATTGTTTTTCTCACACCTAGGATTATATTTAATACGAGATTAAAAAGAATATGAAGAAAGCGTAGGTACTGAAAAGCCGTGTTTGTTAATTAGGTTTGGCTACATTTAATGTATACCATACCTTTGCCTCGGCCCCCACGACCACCACTATACCCGCCATCGTAATTGCTATATCCTCCATAGCCGTCTGTCAACATACCCATTAAAAACATTTATAAAAAATTTTGTGGATAACATTTTGTTTAAAAAAAAAAAAAACATGGTGGCAAAAAATGAGGTTCAATGTAAAAATAAAGGTTTGAAATTTTAATTTTTTTTTTTGAATTCTCAATTAATACATTGTCCCATTAAAATATTTAAACATAGTAAAATCCCTTTAAAAGTAGTTCAATAAACAATAGAACCTTGACTGATTTTCATAATAAAAAAAAATTTTTTTTTTTGTAAAATGGAAAAAGTTGCAAAAAGTTCTGTTGGGAAATTTAATAATAATTTAAAAAAATATATATATATTTGTCATAAACTTACCGCCATAGTTACCGTAGCCTCCATATCCAGAGTAATCGTATCCACCTCCGTAGTTGCTACCGCCATAACCACCTCCATATCCCCCACCGCCGCCGCCGTAGTAGTCATAGCCAGAGGCATAGCCTGAAATTGGACCGAAATTAGGACAGATCTTAAAATAATCTATGCTTTCAGCTACACACAAAACCAAGGGAACTTACCACCATAACCGCCATAGCCTTGACCATAGCCCTGTCCATAACCTCCTTCAAACGGAAAAAATACGAAATGAAAAGTCTGACTTGATTTTTTTTTAATTTAAAATTTTTTCTTCAAAATTTTGTTTTTAAAATTTCAATTCTGAATATTTTGGAACTAAACTGAGTTGAATTTAAAACCCTGTTTTCTTTATTTGGAGTATGATTAAGGCAATGACAAGATTTTTATTTTATCTTTAAATTTAATAAAAACATTCAAATTTAAATTCCAAAAAATCCTACCATGCAACCAAGCAATACCAGTTCAGTTTTATCGAGTTCCAAGAACTGAATAAAAATCTTAACCATGCAAATAACTTGCCAGGCAAAATATTTAGAGAAAATTTCTAGATTTTTTTTCATTTGACAACAAACCTGAAGTGCAAAAACGTTTTTTTTTTTAAATAAGTGAAATCAGGTCTTCGAAAAATTTAGCCTAGCTCTCCTCAAGACTATGACGATTAAAAAGGTGGTCGTGAAAACTCCTTAAGCATAAACTGACTAATTCTACATAAAAACTTACGAATTGAACAGTATTTAAAACTTGGTTGAAAAATGTTAAAATGTCTGAGTAATAAAAAAAAGCTACTTTATAAAAATAAAACATAGAATGACAAAATGCTTTAATATGAATTTTAAACAAGTGAATTTTTTTTTAACTTTATCAGGCATTTTACAATTAAAAAAAAAAAAAAAAAAAAAAGTTACATAAAAAAAATATCTTTTCAAACTAATTTTTCTTAAAATTTAATTAAAAAATAAATAAATCTAACTTCATATAAAATCTCTCAATTTTTAAAGCGATAGAAGCCAAAGTTTAAAAAAACAAAAACAAAAAAAAACACAATCTTGATGCCTTAATCATCTGCTTTTAGAACAGGAAAAGTTTTACTAAAATAAAATAAAATGATACTACTCAAGCTTAAGAGATTTCTTGTGAAGAAAAACAAAATAAAAGAAAGAGTCAATTGGAAACAAACGTACCTCGGCCACGGCCTCCCCGTCCTCCTCGGCCACCTCTCATGCCAGCCATGCCGTCTGGTTTCGGTGTCGCCTTTTTGACATCGACCTCCTTTCCATTTATAGTTTGTTTTGGTGTTTTTAGCAATTCAGCTACTACTTGTTCAGATTCGAATGTAATGAAGCAAAATGCCTTCCTTTGATTTTTCGATTTGTCATAGGGCATTTCAACGTCTACAATCTATTAAAATTTAAAAAAAATATACATAAATGTCAAAGACTGGCTTGTTTTTTTTCTTCCTATATATTATAATTAACTTACACTGCCATATTGAGCGAAGTAATTCTTGATATCATCATCTGTCAACTCTGTTGAAAGCCCGCCGACAAAAATCTTTCCGTGCCTGGCTTTAGCTTTTTTTGGGTCTATCTTTTTGTTGTTAATAACATGATCTCCAGCAGCCAATACCTACACAATATGAAATATTCATAAATAAAAAATAAATAATAAAAGTTTCGTAGAAATTTTAATTTATGCCATTACCTTGTCGATGGAGTCAGCAGATTTGAAAACGATAAAAGCAAATCCTCTTGACCGTCCAGTGTTGGGATCGGTCTTAACATTAATGCTTTCTATTGTGCCATAACTGCTAAAATGTTCTCTAAGTTCCTCTGAAAAGTTAAATTTCAAGTTAACCAAGCATCCCGTTAAATCATAATTAAAAAAAAAAAAAAACTTACTGTCAGAAGTTTCCCAACTGAGTCCGCCGACAAACAATTTCCTGTAGAGAAAAGAAAACACGCTTTCAGTATATTTGAAATTTGAACTAATGTTTTTTTCTAGATGAAAAGCAAAACTTGTCCGAAAATTTAATTTAAAAATTGTCAAGAAAAAAATAATGGATTATTATAGAATTAAAAAAAAATCACAAGAAAATTACAAATGTTGAGCATCAAAATCCAAGTCTGTAAAAGAAATAAGCTAGTTGCTTTATTGGTATCAAAAAAATAAATAAGTATACAAAGAAATTAGATATGACCAAATGAGATGAGTTTATAAGCTGGAAAAAAATTTACAAATTAAATACTGATGTTTCACTTCTAATTCGCTAGTAGTTTCACTATTAAATTTTTCTCTTTTCTTTAATTTATTTATATTTTCCCAAGTTTATATACCATGGTGATTGATGGTTGTCCGACACTCAGCTTTGTTTAGGTCCATCCACTCAACCTGAGGAAAGTAATCCTTGGTTAGTGTTCTCACAAAACACACAACAGTTAATATAACCAACACAATTTCCTTTAACTAATGCTTTTTTTTACTTTTTCACTTTCAATAAAATTAATTGCTATTATTTTTTACACAGATATCTTACAAAAATTTTAAATTTTCAACTTGAAAATCTGACAAAATTTTTTTTAAAAAGAATTTACATTAAGGAAAATTATTACTTCTTAAATATTATTATCTTAGAAGGTATCGTTTTAAAAATATCAATTGTTGTTACTTTTAATATATAACCAATCATCAGGTTTATTGACTAAAAACATTTAAAAACTTAACAAATTTTTTGTGACCAATCCCTGTTACAAAAGTTTACAATACTATTAATTAGAAATGAAAATGAAGAAAAGACAAAATTTTAGCTCCAATTTTTATCCAAAAATGAAACCAAACATTATTGTCCAAATTTTAAAATCGCTATCATAAAATTACACTCTTCCTTACTACTACTATTATCTGAAAAAGATATACAATAATTTATACACAAAAAAGAAAAGAAAAAAAGAAAACAATTTCTTATTACCCCTTTGAAGGTTAAAGAGACCAACAGAACACTGGAAAATTGTTTTTAGGTGTAAAGGTAAATTAGGAGTACAATAAACAATGAAACAACCCCAATTTGTCGCTTTTATTTATTCAACCAAACAACCCGAGTTACACAATAGTAATTACAATTAAATGTGTTTAGATTTCTTGTTACAAAATGAGGGCAAAACTAATTTATCTCAAGCCCTTTAAATTAAGGATTGGTCACCAATTGTTAATTACACATTCGTCAACCTTCTAAGATATAAAAAATGATATATTTTGAATTAAAAAGGCACAACAGATACGAAACAATTATTAACATTTGAGCTAGCTTAAAGGGGGATTGTATTTACTAAAGATCTAATTTATAGCAAGTTCATACAATCATATTGTATAATAAACCCACGCAAGTTTCCATAATAAAAAATTAGAATAATAGAGCCTAAAGCATGAACTGATCAAAAATGCGTATCAATGATATTAATATAATTTCATAAGCGGGAAAAAAGTAAAAAACGAACTGTCTAATTTCATTATTTGACAAGTAGGTTAATGCAATTTTATTGCATACCTGAGTGAATAAAAGGGAAGTAAAAATATGCCCAAGCCAGGTTTTTTTTTTTTTTTTAAACAGACAAGCATAGCATTGTGGGGTTTCTTAGTGCAATTGTGAAAAAACCCCGCCCAAAAAGAGGTTCAAATGTAATTTTGATATTTTGCCGGCAAATGCCTGAAGCTTTCTTAACAAGAGTATTATTTTATTACTCGAATGTCTGATTGTTATTGTTACAATGTGGCAAAATAAAAAAAGGTTTATGGTGCAGCTAATACGCAGTCTTAAGCGCAAAATATTAAGACTTGATGCTGTCTTAAGCACAGAGTATTATCACTCACTCGTAAGTGCAAAATATTACGACTCACGCTTTTAAGTCTTAAGCGTAAGACTTTAAAATTAATACTGCATAAAACTCTGACCTAACCATCAAGTTTTATCGCAAAAAGCAATTTTTTTTTATTAGTAAAGTGGTGACAAGCTAGGATAAGTTTTTTAAAATATCCACAAGCCAATATCTAAAACATAGAATATTACAAAATACAAAGGCTAAAAATGTTAAAATGCTTTTGAACTTGATTTTACAAGTCTTAAGCAATCATAAAGAACTTTTTAATGTTTTTGCAGAGCGCTTTCTTATCTACATTTAGTTGCTTATTTTTATGCTATTACAATGCATAATTATTTGAAGTTCAATGGTAAAAAAAAGCTGAATAAATTGTTAAAATGCTATTTCTCAGAACAACGGTGAAAAACTGGCTAAAAAATTCAATTTATATTAAGATTTGCAAGTCTTAAGCATAATGCAAAACTGGCCAGAGCGTAGGTATTTATAATTATGCTGTTGTCTTATGTGTAGGATATTACAAGAGACAAACGAGGGTAACAGTGCCGTTAAAACCCACAACTTGAATGTTGAGATTTGCTATGTAAAATTTAAACATGCCTCTGAATACCAATTATTTTTCATTTCAAGTGCAACGGTAAAAAAGCGAATAAATTGTTAGAACAATTTAATTATGCTGTGTGAATAAATAATGGGGGGGAAATGCAATTTTATTACTGCACTGGTGGTAAACTAAGCTATAAGTGCACTTTATATGGATGAATCTTTAAACAAAAATTTAATCAAGATAAATGGTTAAAAAAAGTGAAAGCAGGCTAAAGAATGCAAATTTCTATTACACGAGTCAATGATAAGCATAGAATATTATTACATTTGCCTCACCTCAAGCGTAGGATATCGTTATGCTGTGAGTCATCATGTGTAAAAAGCAATTTATTTACTACAGTTATGATAAAAGGCTGTAAAAATGCACTTAGAAATATTTTTTATCAAAACCATGAATAAATTGCTTAAATGCAACAGGGCAAAAAACCATGCTAAAAATGTATAATTTACATTAGAATTAATTATACATAGATTCAAATTGAAAAATTGAATCAGGCAGGATTAAAGCTATCTTTGGATCTACACTCCGATGCATTAACAACTTGCGCTACCAAGAATTCGGTTGCCCATGCCAAAATCATTACGTTGTGTGAATGATAATGGATAAAAACGCATTTTTGTTGTAGTCGTGGTTAACTTGGCTTTAAGTGCACTTAAAAAAGTACTACACAATTTCATTAATACCTGGGTAAGTCTTTAAACCATCAAGAAAAAAATGGTAAAAAAAAGTAAAACTGTCAAAATGCATATGGTGAAAAAACCTAACTAAAAATAGGACGGGGAAAAATGGCTTTATATTACACAAGCCAATATCTTGAGCCAAGAATATTACGAATCATGTCTTAAGCATAGGATTTTATATTACAAGAGAATTTTACTTCTATTACATTATAGTATATTTAGGATTTTAGACCACACGTAAAAAAAAAAAAGGTTAAAAAAAGTGAAATTGCCAAAAGGCAAATGGCGAAAACAAACCTAACATTTAACCTAAGGCTTTATATTACACAAGTCAATGTCTTAAGCCAAGAATATTACGGCTCGTGGCTTAAGCATAGGCTTTTTGTACTACACGATAATTTTACTTCTATTACATTAGAATATAGATTAGGTTTTTATTACTACATGTGTATCAAAAAATGTGAAATTGTCAAAATGCAAATGGCGAAAAAAAATCTAACCAAAAAGAAGAAAAAAAAAGCTATATTACAAGAGTCAGTGACTTGAGCCAAGGATATTACGGAGCTGTCTAAAAAGCATAGGATTTTTGTGTTACATGACAATTTTACTTTTTTTACATTAAAATACAGTTTAGGATTTTATTACTACGTGTGGATCAAAAAATGTGAAATTGTCAAAATGCAAATGGCCAAAAAAATCTAAAAAAGGAGAAAAAAATGCTTTATATTACACGGGTCAGTGATGAGCCAAGGATATTACGGCTCTGTCTTAAGTATAGGATTTTTTTTACTATACGGAACTTTACTTCTATAGCATTAACATAAAGTTTAGGATTTTATTACTACATGTGGATCAAAAAAGTGAAATTGTCAAAATGCAAATGGTGAAAAAATCTAACCTGTGTATAGAATTTTTTTTACTATACGATAATCTTGCTTCTATTACATTAGAATATAGTTTAGGATTTTATTACTACATGTGGATCAAAAAATATAAAATTGTCAAAATGCAAATAGTGAAAAAATTAACACAAAAAAAAGCAGAAAAAAAAGCTTTATTACACGAGTCAGTGACGAGCCAAGGATATTACGGCTGTCTTAAGTATAGGCTTTTTTTTACTATACGATAATTTTACTTCTATTACATTAGAATATAGTTTATGATTTTATTACTACACGTGGTGGAACTAACCCCCCCCCCAAAGATCGAGCAAAACTGGGAAAGGGAGAGAACCGGTTTCGCCGTGGGGTGCAGTTCGATCGTGCTATTGAACCCCGGCTTTTTTCCTCTCGTTTTTCCCAACCCCCCACCATCAACGTGGACTAACCCAACGACGCAATTGACTCAAGCCCAACGACCAAGTAAAAAAAAAATCCCCCTTCTCTCTGAAATACTTAAAAAAAAACAACTTATTTTTAATGTAACTGGTGTGCCTTTTTGTTTCTTTTAAAGAAATGAAAAAATATCTTTTTATACTTTTTTCTCTTTAAAACAAAACTTTAATTATTCAATTAATATTTGTACAAGAATAAATTATTTTACATGAATTTCGAACTAATTATTTTTAATATTATTTTTTTAAATAAATAAAGTAAAATTAAAAATAAATAAATAAAATTTATTATTAAAGGGATTTTTGTTTTTAGGGTTAAAACAAAACGGGAAGAAGGATTTGGGGGAGACAAGGATGACATTGAATGATTTTTGTTTTAAATGTAAATTTGGTTCTGTAAAGCGGAATAAATTACATTTAATTAAAAATTAAAGAAAATCATAAATACAAGTTGTGAAATAAAAAACTTGTAAAAAGAATAAAAACAAAGAAAAATTCAAGTTTTTTTCCTCTTGTGTTACAATAAATATGTGATAAAAGCGTAGAAATACAGGTGAAAAAAGTTTTTTTGTCATACGAGCAAAATTTTTCGGAAGAACTCTAGTGTCCGGAATGGCGGACCGACGCTATGCGGTATGACTCGATCGGATCCATTTACAACTCGGGAAATTCAACTCTCGTGTATGGAATTTGTGAACGAAACACATTTTAGTCTTTGAAGGATTGAAGATTGAAGTCTGTCCGATAAAAACCAAGTCGTCATCACTTAAAATTATCCGGATGATCCGGGATAAAAATTCTACTCGAACGAGAGAGAATAAGAGACGCCATTATCCGATCCATGTTGAGAGGAGCAAAGTAAAAAATCGCAAACGCCTTTTTATAGAAACTCCTTTAGAAAAAGGTGTTAAATCCAGAGAAAAGGTCGACAAAAGGACGGATGAGAGGGTGGTCAGCTTAATGATAAATAATTATTTGAAAAAAGACGGGGGTGAATGGAAAACGGCTTTACCTGTCGTCGTCTTTGCCGGGCGCCTCGGCACTCCCGCTGTCGGCCGGCTGTTCGCCTCCGCCGTTCTCGGCGGTCCCGTTCATCTGGTCGTCCTGGTTGTACTCTTCCTGCCCTTCGGACTTGTAGTCGCCGTTCCCCATCTCGTATTCCTGAGTCTCGGCCATGGTCAAGTGTTCAGCCTAGAAAACGCTAGCGAGTTATGAACGGACGTGGACTGGTTCGGTGCCGGCGGACGAGAGAGGACGAGAGGAGGGAGTCGGCCGGGTCGAGAGAGCGGCCGTGCGCAGTGGCCGGTGCGCAGCTTTGCACCACGGGAAACGAGGGGAAAATCGATCCCGTTCGACGGCTGGGGCCAATCGCGGATGAGGACGCCGCCGGCTTCGCCCCCACCCGCTCGGGGAACCGGCTCCCCTTCGCCTTTCTTCCGCTCGACCGGTCCCCCTCCGCCTTCGACCATGCCGCTTCCACATCATCTTATGACGCCCGACGCCGAAATTCCGCCACAACTTACTAGTTCCGCCTCAACTACACAAAATTCTTAATAAAACCTCCTTGGAACTTAAAACTTTTTCCCCAATTTCCTTTTTAGATTTTTTTTTAAATCGTTCCGTATTCCGCATAAAAAATGTATTTTTACTTAAAACAACGATTTTCTTAATTAATACGGAATTTAAAAAAATCTATATATACCTACTTTAGCTTAGTTTAAAAAAACTTTATTTTTACATTTTTCTTACTTATGCCAAAATAAAATAGTACTTATTTTAGCTTAGTTAAAAACACCTAGAGCATTAATGGTTAATAAGAATGAAAAGAAAAATCTTTATTCTTCTATTTTTTTTTAATTTTTGTGAAAATAAGACCAGTTGGATAAAATAACACAATACGAAACTTTTCAGTTACCAATACGTAAGAAGATTCCAATAAGATTTCCTATACAAATAATTTTTTACGTTAAATGAAACTCATTTAAGCACAAATAAATAAACTTAAGGGAAAGACGTGGGTTCGAAACCAGTTTTTTTTTTTAATTCAACCCATATCCCGCATAAAAAAAATGTATTTTTACTTAAAACAAGATTTTCTTAATTAATCCGGAATTTAAAAAAAATATACATACTTCCTTTAGCTTAGTTTTAAAAAATTTTTAAAAACATATTCTTTTTTACTTTGTTTCTTATTTAATAACAAGTAAAAAAAGTACCTACTTTGGCTTAGTTAAAAACACCTAGACCATTTATGGTATAATAAGTATGAAAAAATATTTATTTTTCTTTCCCCTTTCCTTATTTTTTTTAATTCGGCCCGTATTCCTCATAAAAAATGCATTTTTACTTAAAAACGATTTTCTTAATTAATACGGAATTTAAAAAAATCTATATATACCTACTTTAGCTTAGTTTAAAAAAACGTTATTTTTACATTTTTCTTATTTATGCCAAAATAAAAAAGTACTTATTTTACCTTAGTTAAAAACACCTAGACCAATAATGGTATAATAAGAATGAAAAGAAAAATCTTTATTATTTTTTTTTTCATTTTTGTGAAAATAAGACCAGTTGAATAAAATAACACATTACAAAACTTTTCAAGTTACCAATACGTAAGATGATTCCAATAAATTTCCACTACAAATATTTTTTTTTATGAACTCATTTAAGCACAAATAAAACGTAAATAAACTTAAGGGAAGGACGTGGGTTCGAAACGTTTTGTTTTTTTTTAATTCAACCCATATTCCGCATAAAAAAATGTATTTTTACTTAAAACAACGTTATTTTAAAAAATATATATACTTCCTTTAGCTTAGATTAAAAAATTTTTAAAAACTTACATTTTTTACTTTGTTTCTTATTTAATGACAAGTATAAAAAATACCTACTTTGGCTTAGTTAAAAACACCTAGACCATTTATGGTATAATAAGTATGAAAAAATATTTATTTTTCTTTCCCCTTTCCTTATTTTTTTCATTCGTTCCGTATTCCGCATAAAAAATTTATTTTTACTTAAAACAACGATTTTCTTAATTAATCCGGAATTTAAAAAAAAAAAATATATATATATACTTCCTTTAGCTTAGTTTAAAAAAATTTAAAATAACATTATTTTTTACTTTGTTTCTTATTTAATAACAAGTAAAAAAGTACCTACTTTGGCTTAGTTAAAAACACCTAGACCATTTATTGTACAATAAGTATGAAAAAATAGTTATTCTTCTTTCCTTTTATTTAATGGCAAAAAAAGTACCTACTTTGGCTTAGTTAAAAGACCATTAATGGTATAATAAAAATGAAGAAAAAACACCTCATTTTACTATTTACTTCGAGATTCTTATTTAAATACCTATTTTAGCTTAAAGTAAAAAAAAAAAAATTATTCAGAAATCGTGAGATGCGGTCTGGTGTGATGTAGGTTTCAGAAAAACATTTTCTTTATCGTGCCAACGTTTCGATCTTTATTGAGATCATCTTCAGGGCTCAAAGTGTTTGTCTTCTGTGTAATTGTGCCATTCTTGCGTGTCGTGTTGAGAGTGCCCACAGAAGACAAAACACTTTGAGCCCTGAAGATGATCTCAATAAAGATCGAAACGTTGGCACGATAAAGAAAATATTTTTCTGAAACCTACATCACACCAGACCGCATCTCACGATTTCTGAATAATTATCGATTATCGGTCACTAATCACCACACGTAAAAAAAAAAATTTATGTCAAAAAAATTAGTACTAGGCTTGGTTAATGATATAATATGAATGAAAAGACAAATATTTATTTTTGGTCAAATAAGGCCAGTTGGATAAAATAACAATTACAAAACTTTTGAACTTACAAATATTGAAGAAGATTCTAATAAGATTTCCGATACAAATAAAACACATATAAGAACAAATAAAATTAGCTGAAGGTCGTGGGTTCGAATACCGCTCGTGACACTAACTTTTTCATCTCAACCAAGACCACTAGATAAAAAGAATAATTAAATGAAATAATTAATACGATGAATCATGATCGCTAAACATGTATTGGTTAAATAAAACTTCTATGGAACTTAAAAACACTTCCCCCCTTTCACCTATTTCTTTATTTGATTTTTGTTATTCAACCCAAATTCTGCATTAAAAAAAATTTTTTTTACTTAAAACAAAGTGTTTTCTTTCAAATATATACCAATTTTAGCAGAGTTAAAAAACACCAATCATGCAAAAAAAGAAGGAAAAGAAAAATCTTTATTTTTTTTAACTTGAACTTAAAACTTATCGTGCCAACGTTTCGCTCTTTATTAAATTATTGCACATTAAAACTTAAAAACACTTTCACCTATTTGATTTGATTTTTTTTCTAATTCGATCCATAGACTCCACAAAAAATGTTTTTAAAAAATATGTACATATTTTAGTTTAATTAAAAAAATAAATAAATAAACCAGGTAAAAAAGAAGGAAAAGAGAAATCTTCATTCTTCCAGTCCAGTTGAATAAAATGCATAGTTACCAAACTTTTCAACTTACCAATATGTATGAAGATTCTTATAAGGTTTCCAATACAAATAATTTTTTTGCATAAATAAACCTGCATGGAACTAAAAAACACCCTTTCCTCCCCTTTTTCCTCATTTAATTTTTTTTAACTCGACACAATTCCGCAGAAAAACTTTTTTTTTACTTTTATATTTTTTCTTAATTAACCGTAAATAAAAAAGATGTACCTATTTCGACTTAGCTAAAAACACCTACACCATTAATGGTACAATAAAAAGGAAAATAAAAATCTATATTTTTCAATTTTTTTTACGTTTTGGGAAATAAATCCATGGTAAATATGATATGACAAAACAAATTGTTTTCCGTTCTTCCAGTCCAGTTGAATAAAATACATAGCTACCAAACTTTTCAACTTAAAAATATGTAAGAAGATTCTTATAAGGTTTCCAATACAAATCTTTTTTTTTTTGCATAAACAAACCTCCATGGAACTAAAAAACACCCTTTCCTCCACTTTTTCCTCATTTTATTTATTTATTTTTTTTAACTCGACACAATTCCGCAGAAAAACGTCATTTTTTCTTTTATATTTTTTCTTAATTAACCGTAAATAAAAAAGATGTACCTATTTTGACTTAGTTAAAACACCTACACCATTAATGGTATAATAAAAAGGAAAATAATATATTTTTCAATTTTTTTACGTTTTGGGAAATAAATCCATGATAAATACGATATGAAAAAACAAATTAACGTTTTCAAGTTTTTCAATATATATATAAATCAATTTTTGTGCGGTTTGGGACAAACCAAGTTCCGCCTTGACGAGGGAAAATTGTTAAATAAAATTTCAATAAAATACTTGATTTTTAAAAAATTTTAAACTCTACCTGCAATCTGTATTAAAAATATATTGCTTCAAGTAGACATTTTTAGGCCAATTTGGTTTCGCTTGGCTGCGTGAAAAGGAAAATCCATTATAAACATAACCCAGGGCTTTTTGGCTTTACTGATTCGGCCGGGTTGCAAGACAAATTTATGAACATCCAAGTGGTTTTAAGTATTAAAAAAAAAGCCGGACAACTTGCAACAATGCCAGCACTCAATACCTCCTTCCTGGGAGGTGTTGTTCATTGTAATTTTTAGCATGCAATATTTTTAGCCTTTCGTTTTATTTGTGCAACCGTCAAGTTGTAGAAGAGGGCATCGAAACTTTCAAAAAGTACTGTCGTTCAATTTTCCCCTCACTTCGGGACTTTCTAATCCTGGCTTAAGTTGGCCAATTTGAATACAATAGAAAATTCAGAGAAAATCTCTGTCAAACCACTAAAAAAATCAAAGACTTCAAATTTTTATATATTTATATTAAATATTTGCCTATATATTATTTATATTAAATAAGAATGATTTAAACAGTAGCAGGATTGTTTAGGCGAAGATAGAAATAGAAAAAATAGAGATAGCATTTTTAAGTCGTAGAATAGAGAACTATTTATCAGATCAGTGCCCTTTTCGGATTTTTATACGTGAACGCAATTCGCGAAAAGGGGACAATTTGCTTACTTTTACAAAATTATCAGCCAGATAAGATTTCACTTACAATAGGATGAGTTAAAAAGTGAGCCTAATTTAAGCTTTTTAAAACTGAAATGCTTTTTAAAATATCCAAACCACGTGGGAAAATTAATTTGACAAACAGAGCTAAGTCTTTATTGTAAAATGGGCTACATATGACAGTTTTTATTATGGTTTTAGAATTGACTTGACGAAAGCTAA